TTTCAGCTTTTCCCTATTCCTGTGTGTACAATTTTCTATATGAATTTTACCATCAGCCTATCTAGTTCCACAAAATAGCTCAATGAAATCTTTATTGGTATTAAATTGATAAATTAACTTAGGGAGAAGTGACATTTTCATGGTGTTGAGACTCCTCAATCAAGAACAGGGTATCTTCCTAGCTTCCTACTTCTGTCCTTTAGAAGTGTTTCATAGTTTTTTTCATATGGGTTTTGGACATTTCTCAGGTTTATTCCTATTTTAACTTTTTGATTGCTATTGTAAATGGGGCTTTCTCATTCACTGCATCTGCTGGAACGCAGTGGTGTGATCTCAGCTCACTGCAACCTCTGCTTCCCCGGTTCAAGCAATTCTCCTGCCTCAGCCTCCCGAGTAGCTGGGATTACAGGCATGCACCACCATGCCTGGCTAATTTTTATATTTTTAGTAGAGACAAGGTTTCTCCTTGTTGGGCAGGCTGGTTTTGAACTCCTGACCTCAGGTGATCCACCCACCTCAGCCTCCCAAAGTGCTGGGATTATAGGCGTGAGCCACCCCGTCTGGCCAACTGTATCTTCTAACTGGCTAATGTATGAATGCTACTGATTTTTGCATGTTATATTCTGCTACCTTGATGAATTCTTGTTTATACATGGTTTTACCACAGATTCTCCAGGGTTTTCCAGGTATACTATCATACCACCTACAAAGAGAGATGGTTTTATATTTTCTTTTTCTGTTTTTTGAGATGGAATCTTACTCTGTTTGCCCAGGTTGAAGTGCAATGGCACCATCTGGGCTCACTGCAATCTCCACCTCCCAGGTTTAAGTGATTCTTCTGCCTCAGCCTCCTGAGTAGCTGGGACTACAGGCACACACTACCATGCCTGGCTCGTTTTTGTACTTTTAGTAGAGAAGAGGTTTCACCATGTTGGCCAAGCTGGTCTAGAACTCCTGATCTTAAGGGATCTGCCCATCTTGGCCTCCCAAAGTGCTGGGATTATGGGCATGAGCCACTGCGCTCAGCCTTTATTTTTCTATGATTATGCCTCTGAGTCTTTCTCTAGGCTAACTGTATCGGATAGCTGACCAAAACATTAAATAGTAGTGGAAACAGTAGGCAGCACTGCTTTGCTCCCGGACTTAGAGGAAAAGCTTCTATGGTTTCCCACTAAGATGCTGACTCTAGAATTTAGATATGTATATTTTATGATGTAAGCGGCCACCTATTCTAATTTTCTCAAGTTTTTATTAGGAATGGGTGTTGAATTTTGTCAAAGGCTTTCTCTGAACTACGAAGGTAACTGTATAGTCTTTATATTGAACCAAGCTTGTATTCCTGCTATTAAATCCCACTTGATCCTGGTATATTTTTTAAAATGTGGTATTGAAATCTGTCCCCTAATATTTAAGACTTTTATATCAATACTCACAAGTGATATTAGTCTATAATATCTTTTTTCTAGGTTATCTTTATGAGATTTAGGGATATACCTGATAAAGATAGCATAAAAAAAATCAACGCTGTACTTGCTCAATTCAATGTAATACTTGCTTCATTCAAAAAATTTGGAAGTTTTCCTTCAATATTTATGCTCTGAAACAATTTACGTAGCATTAGGACCTGATCGCTAAAGATCTGACAGAAGTTTCCTGTGAATCTGGGCCTGGTATTTCTGTATGAGGTATATCCTTGATAACTTTCTTTTCTTCTATGGAAACTGGTCTGCTTAAGCTTTCCATCTCAAATTGGCTCAATTTTATTAAACTGTATGTGTCTAAGAAATTATCCATTTCCTCTAGGTTTTCAAATTTATTTGCACAGAAATGTATGTACTGTAGTTTCACAATATTTTTTGGAGATTTTCTCTGCATTAATGGTACCTCCCCTTATCATTTATCATTTTCTGCATATTTTTACTCCATTCTTTTGATTATATTCATTAATGGTGAGGTTTTTTCCCCCCAAAGAACCAAGATTTTGATTAATTTGATCTACTATTTTTCTGTTCTCTACTTCATTAATTTCCACTTTTATCTTTAGTAGTATCTTCTTTTGTTTTTGTTGTTGTTTACTTTCTTTTTTCTAGGTTTTTGAGTTGGGAATTAAGTTTATTATTTTGATTATTTCATTTGTATTTCATTACTCATTTGTTTCATTATTTCATTTGTTAAACACTGTTGTTTTTAACATTATTCCATGGATTTTAACATGTAGCATTTTTGTTATCTGTAAAATTGTTTTTCAAAAATCCTGTAATTTCTTTTCATCAGTTATTTAGTTGGTATCTCTTTTCATCAGTTATTTAGAAGGTATTTTAATTTCCAGGTAAAAGTATTGCTTGTTTTTTGATTTTTAGTTTCAGTTTTCATTTCCAGTTTTATTGCATTATGACCACAGATAATAGTTTGTAATAATTCTACCTTATGGGACCTACGCATGTTTTCTTTGTATCTAGTATATGACACACGATTAATTTTTATGAATATTATATGTGGTTAAGAAGAAAATATATTCTTATCAAAGTTCTCCCCATATATTTTAAATATTCTTTATATTTTCCACCTCTTTACAATCTGTAAGTGGTTAGTTATCCTCAGCTCTGTATTCCACATCACTAATTTTCTCTTTAGCAACGTTTAGTCTACTATGAAATCATCTACTGAAGTTTTCATTTCAAGAAGTTTTCTTTGATTGCTTTCTAAATCCATTATCTTATGGGTTCTTTTCCTTCATTTACATATTTTTGCCTTGAGATGGAGTTTCGCTCTTGTTGCCCAGGCTGGAGTGCAATGGCACGATCTCGGCTCACCACAACCTCCTCTCAGGTTCAAGCAATTCTCCTGCCTCAGCTTTCTGAGTAGCTGAGGTTACAGGCAAGTGCCACCATGTTAGGCTAATTTTGTATTTTTAGTAGAGACAGGATTTCTCCATGTTGGTGAGGCTGGTCTCAAACTCCCGACTTCAGGTGATCCGCCCATCTTGGCCTCCCAAAGTGCTGGGATTACAGGTGTGAGCCACCAGGGATGGCCTTCATTTACATCTTTAAATATGTTAAATACTAGGCCAGGCAGAGTGGCTCACACCTGTAATCCCAGCACAGTGGGAGGCTGAGGTGAGTGGATTGCTTGAGCTCAGGAGCTCAAGACCAGCCTGGAAAGCATGGTGAAACCCCATCTCTGTTAAAAATACAAAAATTAGTTAGACACATGTCCATAGTCCCTGCTACTCAGGAGGCTGAAGTGGGAGGATCACTTGAGCCCAGGAGGTTGAGGCTGCAATAAGCTGGGATTGCCCCACTGCACTCCAGTCTGGGCAAGAGTGAGATCATCTCTCTAAACAAATAAATAAAGTTAAATACTCTATTAAGTATTTGTGTTAAATATTTAAAATTTTTTTCAGATTGCTCTAAATTCTTGAATATTAATTTTCCCATTGCTGGTTCTGTGACAGTCTTTCTTGCCACATGACTTCTTATGTGTTTTATAATTTTTACTCTGAGTTCATATTCTGTGGAACATTTTATTAAATGAACTGCATGCATATATTAATGACATGATTAACAAATTTGTAGAGGATAAAAGGTGATTACTATGGTCAACAGAATCATACAAAATGATCTTGATGGAGTAAAACAAGATGAATCTAAAAGAGATGACAGTTAACAAATATAAAGTTTGTTGTTGTGTGGTTGTTTTTAGAAACCGGGTCTTGCTATGTTGCCTAAGCCAATCTCGAATTTCTGGCCTGACGGAATGCTCCCAAAGTGCCAGGATTACAGGTATGAGCCACCATGCCTGGCCCATATATAGTTCTTAACAGGGGTTCTAAAAACGACAGGATTTCAGAGATAAAGGAAATTTAGCTTAATATCAACATATACAAAAGTAAATATAAGAGCAATGAGACCACGATATGATGTTACTGCCAAAAAGCTGATTTTGCATTAATGGAAAAATGAAAGAAATATTAGCATTACTCTATCCTAGAATCAGAATACTGGAACACTGTCTTCAATTTGACAGTATTCAGGCCGGGCGCGGTGGCTCAAGCCTGTAATCCCAGCACTTTGGGAGGCCGAGGCGGGTGGATCACGAGGTCAAGAGATCGAGACCATCCTGGTCAACATGGTGAAACCCCGTCTCTACTAAAAATACAAAAAATTAGCTGGGCATGGTGGCGCGTGCCTGTAATCCCAGCTACTCAGGAGGCTGAGGTAGGAGAATTGCCTGAACCCAGGAGGCGGAGGTTGCGGTGAGCCGAGATTGCACCATTGCACTCCAGCCTGGGTAACAAGAGCGAAACTCCGTCTCAAAAAAAACAAAAAAAATAATACTCATCAACTGACAGAAGAAGAGAAGAAAAGGAAATCCCATGATACTCAATGTCTTTACTTGTTTATACATATATCATGAAGAGGGATGCTTTTCCAGACAGCAATCTGCATAGGATGAGATCACTTATTATGGAAAAAGCAGCAGTATATCAGCCAAGCGAGAAGATCAGGAAAAATATACAGCTTCACATATAAGGCAATTACTATCCCATCTGATAATCATATACTTACAGTGAAAACAGAGGCCCTAATTTTTACTAATAATTTCAAAATACTTTGCTGTTCATAAACTTAATTTCTTTAAGGAAAAATACAGGAAAGCAACAAAATGCAAAACTAATGTCTTCATCAATAACTATAGTCTAGATATTATCTTCAAATAGGATTGTTCTAAGGACCATAAAAGTATATACAGTTGTAAAAAGCATTCTAAGGCTATTTCAGATTTAAATTTGGTCACAAATGCCCTCACGTTGTCCATTTCTCTCATTCCCTCACCCCAATTTCTTTACACCTATAAATTATTATTAAATAAATCCTTGTCTCCTATGGAGAATGGGGAGTAGACGAAGACGCAACATGGTTTTCCTTTCTCACATGTCCTTTGAATTTGTCATCAAGCCTGACATTCACTTTTAGCAGAACACGCTTCCTGATACTCACGTCATCTTCTTTCAGAGTCTGAAGAAATTCCTGCAGTTTGTCTGCTGTCTTTTCTGCTGCTAGAGATAAAATCTTCTGGTCCATTACTGCTCATATCACAGAACTAAAAGGGAAAAACGTCAGAGGTGAGTGAAGATTCCAGAAATAGACAAACTTGATTTTTTTTTCCTTCCCTGTTAACTGAACATTTCATACCTATTATGCAATGGGTGCTCAACAAACTTAGGACTATCTTTGAATAGGTGATTCTTTTTTTCTTCTTCTTCTTCTTCTCAAGCTCAGTGTTAAGATGGTGATTCTTAACCTAACCAAAATAATCTTAAAAATCCCCTGAAATTGCCTTATTAGGAAACGGTAATCAACTGGTTTCATAAGTTTTGCCCACACTTGTCATCATCTACTGAGCATACTATCTAGAACCCAGCTGCCACTTAACAGCATGACAAGTATGTAATATATTTAATATGTTATCATAAGCATGTAATAAAGTATTTGACAAATAAATGAATAAACCAACAGCATTAGAAATGCATTGTACCAATTAAATGGTATAGAAACAAATGAGAAGGAGAGCCAAGAGTGTGAGGCTGCAGTGAGCTGTGATCATGTCACTGTACCCCAGCCTAGGCAACAAGGCTGTCTCTTAAAAAGAAAGAAAAGGTGAGAAATTAACAAGGTGAAAGATATCATTGTGTTCTTAAAGGTCAAGGCTTCCAGAGGAAAGCTTGAACTGGAGCTCAGAGATTAAATTTAGATAGTCAAGACAACCAGACTGTATACATTAGTGAGAAGGGTACCATGAACAAAGGCATTCATATGGGAAATGAGAAATTTATTTGGGGAAAATGAGTAAAATGGCTGAGGTAGAATCCAAGTAGGAAAACAGTGAGTAGGAAGGCTGGAAAGATAGGCTGGGAGTAAACAGGTTAAGGAATTCAGATTCTGTGTCGTAAATCACTGAGAACCATCAAAAAATTCCAAGCAAAAGACAATCTCACAAGACTGAAAGTGACAGAACCTAGCATCTTTGTGCAGATTAAAGTGGGGAGAAGGTAAGGAGAAACAGCAAAGGGGAAGAGACCATTTGGAAGCTATTTTAGTGGAAATTATAAAGACCTGTACTAGGGTGGTGACTGGAGAATAGAAAAGATGGAATGGGGGCCAGGTGCGGTGGCTAATGCCTGTAATCCCAGCACTTTGGGAGGCCAAGACGGGTGGATCACGAGGTCAAGAGATCGAGACCATCCTGGTCAACATGGTGAAACCCTGTCTCTACTAAAAATACAAAAAATTAGCTGGGCACAGTGGCGCGTGCCTGTAATCCCAGTTACTCAGGAGGCTGGGGCAGGAGAATTGCCTGAACCCAGGAGGCGGAGGTTTCGGTGAGCCGAGATCGTGCCATTGCACTCCAGTTTGGGTAACAAGAGCTAAACTCCGTCTCAAAAGAAAAGAAAAGATGGCATGAAATGGAGGCACGTGAAACAGACAGAATTCAGTGAGGAGCTATGAAAACAGAAGGGGGAAATACAGACTATTAGAAAGAAAATCTGCCCCTCCTCTTCCTCCTGTGTTTCCCATCTCCATAAATGGTACCATCATCTGTTCAGCTGCTCAAACCAGAAACCTGGGTGACATTCTTAACAACTTTGGCTTCATCCTTCACCACATCCATGACCAAGTCCTGTCAATGTTACCAAGTATCTCCCAAATCTACTTTTCTCCAACTCCACTACTGACACATTACTCCAAGCCACCACCATCTCTCACCTGAACTAAGGCAATAACTCCTAACTTGTCCCCCTCCATGCATCAACTAAAGTGATGTTTTTGAAACACAAACCTCATTATGTGACTTATCTTCCCTCCATGCCATCCTCATCCGAAAGCTGTTCAGAGTAGCTTTCCACTGTTTTCTCATCAGTCCAAAATCCGTAAGGATAAAGTAAGTCCTCCAAGGTCTGACCCATGCCTAACTCCCCTTCATCACTCTGTTCCAGCCACAGGGAATTACTTCCAGTCCTTCAAATCACCAAGTTCTTTCTGCCACAGGCCCTTCCACATGTTTCCATCTGGAACTCAAATATATACTCCTCCTTCCATCCACTGCCCCCCAATCTTTTATTACTAATTCCTACAATTCCTTCAGATCTCAGCTCAATCCACATCTCAAAAACTCAGTCTAGGTTAAATGGTTCCCTATTACATCCGCTCATGGCACCAGTAAATCCTCTTACATACTGTCATCAGTTTTTAATGTTACATGGGTAATTATCAGATTAACAAATATATTTCCCACTAGACTATAAGCCCTGTAAGGGCAGGGGCCGTAGCTGGTTTTATGACTGTATCTCCAGCACTTGGCACACTACCTAGCTCAAACTAGGTAACTAACAAATATTTGTTGAATTATTAAACCCCTACAATAGGGAAGACACTGGACCCAGGACTTTACAGCCATTAACATGATCCTCGGTCGATTACTAACAGCTCAGGATTGTACCTCCCAGTGAAAGCTCAGAGAACGAGATGACATCACACTTTTAGACGAATTTTCGTCACTCACGGATCAGCCGATTCCCAGTGGAGGAGCCCCACGGGTCGCCAGCGCGACTCTTGTGGCCGCCGCAGCGGTTTTGCCGGCGCTTCCGCGCAGCAGCTCTTCATGCAGAGCAAACGGGACTGCTACCCCTACTGACCGGAGTTTGGAGCTCTGGGAAGTCAGAGCCGCTTGTTGCGGACTCAAGAGGGAGATTCCCGGGCAGAAGTGCACCATTTAGGCCGCCACAGTGGGTTGCTCGGATCCCAGCACTGGGAATCAATAAATCCGATGTCGACTCAGAAGCCTAATTAGAAAAGCGGTTCATCCATAATGAAGGGAAAAAAACAGCCTAAGAAGGCCGAGTATACTCAAAATCAGAGCCCATCAGCAACGGAACAAGCCCGGATGGAAAAGGACTCATCAGCAACCAAACAAGCCCTGATGGAAAAGGACTCATCAGCAGCAGAACAAGTCCTGATGGAAAAAGACTGTGTTCCATTATCTGAAATAGGCTTTAAAAGGTGGATGATAAGAAACTTCTGGGAGTTAAAGGAACTTGTTCTAATCCAATGTAAAGAAACTAAGAACTTTGAAAAAAGGTTTGATGAAATGATGAAAAGAATAGACAAGATAGAGAGGAATACAAATAAACTTATGGAGTTGAAAAATACAACACGAGAACTTAAGTGAAATATGTACAAGCTTAAATAGCCGAATGGATCAAGCAGAAGAAAGGATATCAGAGGTCGAAGACCAACTCAATGAAATAAAACGACAAGACAAGAATAGAGAAAAAAGGATAAAAAGGAATGAGCAAAGTCTCCAAGAAATATGGGACTATGTGAAAAGACCTAATATACGTTTGATTGGTGTACCGGAATGTGATGGAGAGAATGAATTCAAGCTGGAAAATAGTCTTCAGGATATTATCCAGGAAAATTTTCCTAATTTAGCAAAGCAGGACACTATTCAACCCCAGGCAATACAGAGAACACCACAAAGATATTCCTCAAGAAGACCAACCCCAAGGCACATAATCGTTAGATTCACCAGGATGGAAACGAAGGAGAAAATATTAAGGGCAGCCAGAGGGAAAGATCAGGTTACCCATAAAGGGAAGCCTATTAGGCTTACAGCAGATCTCTCAGCAGAAACCCTAAAAGCTAGAAGAGAGTGGGGGCCAAGATTCAATATACTTAAAGAACAGAACTTTCAGCCCAGAATATCATATCCTGCCAATTTAAGCTTTACAATTGAAGGAAAAATAAAATCTTTTAGGAACAAGCAAGTACTCAGAGATTTTATTACCACCAGGCCTGCTTTACAAGAACTTCTAAAAGAAGCATTATACATAGAAAGGAACAACCAGTATGAGCCTTTCTAAAAATACACCAAAAAGTAAAGAGCATTAACATAAAGAAGAATTTACATCAACGAAAGGATAAAATAGCCAGTTAATATCAAATGGCAGTAATCCTAAATTTAAATCGACTAAATCCCCCAATCAAAAGACACAGACAAAATCTATCGGTATATCTAAAGATATACAAAGACTCAAAGTGTTGGAAAAAAACTTACCAATTAAACAGAGAGCAAAAATAAATAAATAAAAAGCAGGAGTTGCAATTCTCACAATTAATAAAATAGATTTCAAAGCTACAAGGATACAAGGGTAAAAGGATTAATGTAATAATAAGAGATCTTAACACCCAGATACATAAGACCCATAATGAGATTTAGATTCAATGAGACAGAAAATTGATAACGATATCCAGGACTTGAACTCAGATCTAGAACAAATAAACTCAATAGAGCTCTCCATTTTAAACACACAAAATATACATTATCCACTTTAAACACACAAATATTGATCGGCCATTATTGATACCCATTTTAGGAATGAAGTAATACTTCTTTTTCCCTCTTTTTCTTTCTCTTTCTTCAAAAAAAAAAAAAGAAACCCTGACGCTTTCTGGCTCTGAAACAGCAGCTTTGTCAGGGAGTGTCTGGAGTGCAGGTTGGTGGGAGAATGTTTGGGGGATGGGGGAATGGACAGGGGAGCAATGGGAGAAGGTAGGGGAGGCCTTGTGGTTTTGTAACATCTTGAATCATGGGGAGACAATCTCAGCTTTGGATTGTCCGTTATCCATTCCCTGAAGATATGTGGGGTGATCTGTGGGCACAGAGGCACAGAGTCAAACCCTGCCACTCCTGACGTCCAGAGTCAAGGGAAAGGGCCAGGAGAACATGCTGGGGTCTTAGCTGTTTGCCCCCTCCTGACGGACATAGCAGGGAATGGAGGTTAGACTCAAACTAGGCCTGGGCTCCAATTCTAGCCACTTAGTACCAACTTGACCTTGGGCAGGTGTTCCAAGCCTTTGTTTTTTTGTCATCAGTAAAATGGGAATAATTTCACCTACAGGACACATCAAAGGAGCTCCCTGGAGTCATGCATTTAACACGGTTACCCTGTACCTAATTTCAGGATAAAAATGAGACATGTCCAAAGCACTCAGCACCATGCCTGGCACAAATTTGGTAACAATTGGCTTCAAACAAGTTTG